TAAAACCTTTTATAAGGCTAGAGTTGCTTGGGGCTTTCGGTGTTGCTTGTTTTCATGGGCTTCGTCGTTTTCATGTTTTATCCGCTTTAGGCGTCACGCTTATGGCCTACGGGACCTTCCAAGGTTTAGGGTGCATAGTGTTTATGGCTTATAGGGTTTGTGATGCTTGTGGGGCTCTGTCAAGAGTCGGACGATTGCCGTGGCTTAACCCGCAGCCGCCTAAGCCAGCGAAGCCTGGCGACGCGCTGTCCAAATAGACCAGACCCCAGACTCTAATCCCTAGCTCAAGCTAGACCACCAGTGCCCCCTGAAACCGAATCAAAACCTAAACTTAAACCCTAAAGCCTAAACTTAGAGACCCTAAGGCCTAAACCCTCTAAACCATTCTCTGAAGCCTGAAACCCAAGCTTTTCTCGCTGCCAGAACACTGCTCATCGTCTTGGGTGCTCTTGGCGCCTCCTTTGGCTTGCTGATGTGCCGCTCTAAGTTTAGGGGGTTTAGGGTTTAGGGCACTAAGACTTGAATCGGTCTAGGTTTCGGGCTTGTAGCAGGTTTGAGGCTCTAAATGCACTGGCGGCTTGAGGATTCAGGGTTTAAAGCATATCGGGTTTAGGGCTTACCTGTAGCCCAAAACCCTACAATTTCAGAACGTACCCCAGAACCCTTGTCCAGTCGTTATGGCCTTTGTTTTATGCCCTGGACTGAAAGCACTAACAGCAAGGCACCAATTGTTTCTGCGTTCTGTCTACGGCACTGCCCCTTCAGATGCAGGAGGCAACCTAAAGCTGCCGCAAAGTGGTTTTATTCTTGTTCTGAAAAGTTTCACTCCCGACAGCAACCCGAACTCCCTCTACAGTTTACATAGGGTCTAGGGGCTTGGGGTTGTTGAAAGAAGCCATTAAACGTCTTCACCTGCCGCCGCGTGCTACTGCAAGCTGGCCATCGGCCCAGGGTTTGTGTGGATGGACGGGGTAGTGAAGCTAAGTTTTGAGGTCAAGGTTGAATATCTGGGCCGCACCAACCAGTTCCTTTGAGTTCCCTGATGAAGCTATATTTGAGGAATTCATGGAGTCCCCACAACCCCAGTCTGATCATTTAGGCGTTGTTTTGGGTTGGAAAGAGCGCAGGGCTTTGTACAGGCTTCCATCGCTGGCGATGCTGGCTCAAGTCGGTGACTGCTGGGCTGCACCACGCAGGAGATGTCATGTCGGATAAAGTTGAGCCCCAAAGAGCCTTGATGTTTGTTTCATGTCGCTTTACACAGGGTTTAGGGTTTGGGCTGTAAAACTTGACTACTACATAGACTGACATGGAAAACTCGCAAAGCCTGGTCAATCACGCCGGCTCCGGATCCTAGCTGAACCATACCCTGCCTGAGGCACCATGCCCGACGGATCAGTTCTAAGCCCCCCAAGTGTTCTGCACTTAAGCCGGCAAGACTAAGCCCTGAAGCTCGAAAGTGCCTTCCTTCAACCAATCCATGGGCCTTCGATCATAGCAGGGTACCACACCGGACATGCCGTTCATGGTCGACTGGTCCGGGATGCGGACGGAGGGAGAGTCGGATCCCATTGACCGGGCTGCTGGGCCTGCATGATTTCGGGTCTTGTACTAGTACTACTACTACTACTACTACTACTACTACTGGCAGCATTCCGCAAAACATAAGACTTTGACGCTGCAGCCAAGCAGCAAGGACGCCCCAGACCGTAAAGGCAGAAGTGCTTAAAGGCCCCCGTTCAAAGAGCACGCCTACACCCGAGCAAAGCAAGAGAAGAAGCGCTCTACTCCAATCTTGGACTCCGCACCGGAAGCCCCGAAAACTGAGCCAAAGAAACCTGGAATATCAACTTCTGAAGGCTCAGAATATGCGAAAGAACGCCAGGGCTGGTGAACACGGGAGCCATTCGCTAATCGGCTTCATGACATAAATCCTTGCTTGTGAGAGGGCACCTTAATTATCGGTCTGAGATCTTCGACAGCTCCTCAGGTGCTCCCAGACGAGGACGACGCCAACCTGCACTTGGCATCGAATGTAGGAACCTGATTCAGACAAAACCCTGCTTCCAAATCCAACAAACTCTCATGCCCAGGTAATAGTTTCATATAGGAACAGCTTCGAAAGCAAGCCGAAATTCATTCGAATATAGGAGCAACTGCAACAGAAGAGGGGTTTATTCAACAGGCCGCAGGTCGAGGCTCGCTTTGAGGCCCAATACAGAGTTGCCTAGCATTTGGAAACTAAATCCACTTCTGGGCCCCATGGAATGAATATACTCCAATGCGCCCTGCAGTCCTTTCGTAATTGTAATTATGCAACAGCCAATAGACGATCTCGGGTTGGTGAGTTTTCGGCTCAGGCGTCGCGTTCTCAACAGCTAAACCTTTGGTCACTAGAAACGCATCCTTGGGGTTTAGACAAGCAGGTTCAAGTTCTTTCCCAAGCCGCCATAAGCTGTTAGCGAAATGGGGTTTAGGGATTAGGGTTTTGGGTTCATTTACACGGGGTATGATGATTGGGGCTATAAGGCTGTTTCAAGGCTTAAGATCATTTACGACTGCATGTTGAGCACTGTGGGTGAGTGGGTAAGTACGCAATTAAGGGAGAGGCTGCATCTTCTTGTAGTGTGCCATTGGAACTATTGTTAGGGATGTGCCATTACTTGCTGGACACATCCGACTTAATGCACCTCGTTTTGAACACAGCTGCTTCTGAAAGCAATTGTCCTGATCCCCAAAAGCCTCAAACCAGGGTTCATCAACGGACGCCCGACTGCTTAAGTTGAAGAGTTTGGAAGTAAAATGGCGATGCGAACGACGGTGTGTTCCCCAGTTTGGCGTCAGCGAGTTCCCTAATCAACCCCAAACCACTAAGCCTTAAGCCACGAGCTCTCAAACCTCTACTATGCACCGCTTGCACATGCGACAGGCTTGAGGAACCTTCCCACTCGAAGCACTGAATCCTAACCCCGATACCCACGACACTCATCCGAGGAGCTCGAAAACATGTTCTTGTCGGATGGAAGCCATTTTCGGCCGGGCATCAGGTGCAGCCCTATAAACACTATAAACCCCTACACCCTAAAAGTTTCATTGGGGAAATACGGCGGGCTTTGTGTTGCTGCGGTTTCCACACTTGCCAGCTACGGGAAACTCAGACCACCGGGCCGCCAGCGCCGTGTACCCGAAACTGTAGCTTTCTGCCACCGCTTTCCCCTCTTAACCGTGGTATACCCTGTGATACCAGAGAGTTTCAATCGCCCAATTTCGGGGTCGTCGCAGCAGATTTCTGGCCATCTTCTTAACCCTTTTTGTCAGCCAGCGCTGTCGTGCAGCTAGACAGGCCGCAGAAACCCACCCCAAAGTGACCCAAGAGCCCGATGTCCCTTACATAGATAAGAAGAAGCATGCCTAAAAAACCAAAGTATCGGGCATACTAGTTTTCCTTTAAGGTTGTATAACATTCCCAAATTAAAAGGGGCCCTAAACCCTAAACCCGAAAACCCTAAAGCCCCAAACCCGAAAACCCTAAAGCCCTAAACCCTATAACCCTAAACCCGAAATCCCTAAAGCCCTAAACCCTACAAGCCCTAAACTGGGCTCTTTGGGGTGAAAGCCTCCGTCCGTCTTGGGCCAGTCCTTCCTTCCTCGGTGGTCTTTGGGGTCGCATGGACGCGGCTTTGCCGAACTCGGCCTGCTGCCCGGAGGGTTTGAGGCTACAGTTTTTTTGTGGGTTTTGCGTGTGTGTGTGTGTGTTTGGGGTTTTATGGCTCCAGCTACACCTGTATCTGCACCTCCAAACTTCACACGCCTAAACCCTGCTTATGCCAACTACACAATAGGCCCCTAAGTAGTTCCTTTTTGGGATTACCTTATAGGATTCTAAATATAAACCATAAAAGGAGCTACTTAGGGGTCTATGGGTACACAATAGGCTTCGTGGCTTCAGAAGCTGCGACTCCCCCCCGTCCCAACCTTACTTACACATCTGTAGAGTATCGACTCGAGGACGGTTCTTGGCCGCACTGCGATTCTGAGAGAGCTTTAAGATTTATAGGGGTTTAGTCTGTAGGGCTTCGGGGCTCGGGGTCCAAACTGTACCCTCTTGCAGCCCCAGGCCCTAGAAAATCCATACTGAGTGAGGCCCCTTTTCCATTGCATCTCAACCCCCACATGGGTAGTTGTCTATATCAGGGTCCCTTTTTAGGCCCACAAACTAGTACGGCACCCTTATAAAAAGGATCCTAAAACAGGACCCTAACGTAGAGAACTACCCATCTCAACCTCTAGAGCTTCCAGGCCCTGAAGCACCATCACGGAAGCCCAGGCAGTTGCCATGACATGAGCGCATCTGTTGTCCCCCAGCATCCCAAACTCTTTTTGATTAGGGACTATACCTACAATTGAGAGGGTTTTTTTTATACTTTTTTTGGTTCAGGGGTTTTGGATTTGGAGTCTCTGGATTTTTACACTAGTTACTCTAGTTCTTACGTCACCATCGTCTATAGTTATTCAGGTCCATCGGTTAGCGATGCTCCGCTGGCTTCTGACGGCGTTACTGGGCGTTGCCCCTGGGCGGCATCGCAGCTCCCAGCCCACGGCCCACAACTCTGAAGCCTGAATCCTAAGAACCTGAGAAGCCCCGTAAAGACCCAAGAAGCTTTATAAAAGGTTGCACAGGTCCCTTACAGAAGCCATCAGAAGTTACGTATATCGCAAAAATGTCCAATTGAATCCGAGAAGCCCATTGTAAACTAGACGACCAACAACCAGAGACCTGGGATCCACGGTTTAGTAGTTTAGAAGTTTAGAGTTTGAGTCAAGGGTTGTGGGATCTGGGACATAGGCTTTCAGGGTTTGAGAGGTTATGACCTTGCTAGGGCCCCCAACCCGCGCCCCAAACCTCAAACCTTGCAAAGGTCACAGTTGCCTTCAAGCAAGTAGGGTTAGGGCCCAGAGCTTGAGGGTTTAGGCTCGAAGCCACCCGCCGCCACCGCGGAATGCCGTCGTCGTTGCAGCTGCCTGCGGACTGCATCGGCAAGGATGGCCTCCCCCCGGAGCATGGGGTCGCCGCGCAGATCCAAGAGGCCAAGCGCATGGACGCCATAGTCTCGGTGCCGAGGCCCAAGGTGATCGTGGACACGGACCCCGGCCGCGATGACATCTTTGCGCTGCTCTGGGCCTGTAGCCTGGCCAAGAAGGGTGCCATCGAGATCGCGGTCGTGACGACCGCCCAGGGCAACGTGCGCGCCCACCTGACCTGCGCCGCGACGTGCAAGACGTGCCCATCGGGAGGGGCGTGCCGGCCGAGGTGGGCGCGGAGGACAGCGTTGGGCAGTCGCAGGGGCCAGAGCTTCAGTTCATGCGCTCCGGCTTTGCCGTCAGCGCCGTCGGCCCAATGTAGCCCAACGTGTGAGGAACTAAAACGAGACATTTCACCTCCACAGCCTGACTTGAATAGAGGTGGACAGAAGACTCTTGTGACGCATACTTGCCCTGCAGCTTTCACTGACCCCTTTGCTGGGCGCTTTGCAAGGGATCAGACGTCTCATCCCTTGCAAGGCGCCCAGCGCAGGTGTCGGTGAAAGCTGCAGGGCAGACTGCAAGAAGCCCGCTCGGCGATGTTGACGCTTTGCGTTGAGAACTCCCGCGCATGTCAGCCTAAAAACAAAACCGCATGACCGCTCGCTCATGTCGGCAACCGTTCTCGCACGCTGGTGTCGGCAAGCGCAGGCCATCGACCTGAGGGTACCACTGTCAGACACCATCAGTCACAGGCATTTTAGAAGTCTGAGACTGGTACCCTGGAGTATGCAACGCCTGTGTCACCTAGATGGTCCATGGGTCTGGGGCCTCGAGCCTGAGCCTATGGCGTGGGACCTGAGCCTTACAAGCAAATGGCCGGAAGTGGCGAAGCATTTGTTTTTCATGCCAGCATTGGGGGGCCAGCTAAGTCTAGAGCATTCTGATCTGCCGCTTGACCCTCCAAGACCTGCAGTTGCACCCTCCAAGGTTACCCAAAGAGGCTCCGATTGATGATGCCTGTTGTGACAAACTATAAGCGCACAATAGCATTGATTCTTGAGTCAGCAGTACCTGCGAGATCAGAGATGAGTTTACGATGTTTTCTCATATTAGGGCAGGGTCCAGATTCCTCATACGAACACTTGGCTTTGAGGAAGGAGTTCGGGTACGACTTTCTAACGTTGGATTGATATTCCGGCCCCTATAATGGTCATTCGGGCAGTGTGCGAGGTGCTCATTGGTGTCCCCATCATCATGCAGGATTTGCCGGCAGCTTGGCTTGATATAAGGGCAACATAGTCCCGACCCCCCCCAACAGACAACTCCTACATCCGGGCCTTAACCTGCCGTGAATCTACCTAAATCCTCCAAACCCTAAACCCTTCAACCCCTGAACCCTGTATGTGAGCCGGCTAAACTCTATATGAGTTTGGGGGAGAGAAGTTAGTACAATAATATTTGCAGGTAGTTGTTGGTGGAGTCTATCACTATCAGGCATTTGAGCCCTAAGTAAGGGCGTGTCTCTACACCCCAAAACCCCAAACTCTACCTTGGCGTCACAGCAATGAGAATACTGCACAGTAGACCCCCCCTATACCCCAGACCCTAAAACCTAGAGCCCTTTGCACCTCTGACTCTGAAACCCTGAGCCCGACCAGCGCGAACTCCAAACTCTGAACCCCAAGTTTGCACTCAGAAGCCAGGCGACCTTACCGATGGAAACCCCTGTGTTCTGCTAAAGAACACCCAATAGAAACCTCAAAATAGAAAGCCTGCCGAGATTCCTGAGGGCCGACGGAGGCCCCCAACTCACCAGTCCTTCAGCTTCCACATCCGAAAACAGATAAATTCAGACAAATATTGAATGCCGCTCTACTGTTTAATTATAGGGTTTCGGGTAAGCTTTCATACCCCTTGACACTATGTAGGAGGTTTCCTTTTCTCCACACCCCGGACGAGTTTCTAAACGGTAGGATCCTGATTTTATCGCTTCGCGAAGTTTCAGAACCCTCCGCAACAACTTCCGAACGCCCTACACTCTAAGTCCTAAGCTAAACCCTAATCCCTAGGTCCCCCTCGTCCCCCACCATCACTTCTGACATCCATACAGGAGCCGCAACCGGCTCCGTTCATACTCATCGTCCTGCTCTACGTCTTCTGGGCTCTGGTACAGCAGCTTGGAACTTCGAGACAATGCCTTGAGGCGTAAAGGGTGATACCCTCACCCCTTCCTTGGGTTACTTTCCTTTCCATAAAAACAGGTACGAACCCTCAAGCTAGGTACCCAAGAATACTCGAACCCTGCATGGAAGAACTCCCAACACGGTTCGTCTGTACCTCTGGGTTTTTCGAAAGCCCATGCGGCCCCATCCTTAAAAGGTTTCTGAAAGACTCAAAGAGATCCGACTCTTCGGTTCCTTTCAAGACAGGGCGTCTATTCATCAGGCGATATCAGGGGTCTACAAAGGTTCAGGCAACGCAGACATTATAGCCACTTCCGGACATTTTCAGGATTCCCGTTTGTGCGTTTCCTTGTACAGATTCCTTACGCAGGCAGGCTTTGCGAGGTGAAGCTAGGGCTTGCGGAGGGTTAGAGTATTGAAATCTTCGGAGACTGGAGCACCTCGTGCTGAGCATGGGCAGAGGGGCTTCATTTGTTGGACCTGTGGAGCAGAACAAGCCCAGGAGACTAACACGCAAACTCACCGTAAACCCGTAAACCGGATTCAACTCGAATCCAAGCCAAGTGTCAGAACCCTTGAGCTCACCACAAGCAAACCCTAAACCCCTACACTTTGACCCGACAACCCCTAAGCCCTCAGGAACAAGCTCGTCAGGATCTACGCAGGAATGAGTCTGCGCCCAGCACAGGCCTCGTCTAGGGCCTCAATATTTCGGTCGCAGTCAAGATGAGCCTTGTAGGCACTTTCAGCTCCCCGCCCACAGGGACTCCTCTGACCTACGTGCTACTCGTGTATATTGGATTTGTGTAGGGTAGAAGATACACCTGCTTACGACATGCTGCAGCTTCTTTTGCTCAGTACTCCTAGTCCCTAAACCTAAACCCTAATGAGCATATTGCTTGGGCTTGGATCAGTTTGTCGCGAGTTGTTCTGGCGATTCCCCTTGCAAGCTCTCGAGCAGGTTTGTCGTGTATGGGCTCGGTCACCATACGGAGAGACGCTTGGCGAATTCCTCACTCTAATTACTCTACACCCTAAGCCTGGACCCCAATTCTCAGCGCTATAAGCCCAACATTGCTAAGGCACAGGGCTCTTTAGTTTGAAGATGTTCGGTAGACTCTCACAGAGCAGTCGAACGCAGGGATACTTTTTAAGCCTGTGCCCTGAGAGCCCTTTTTGAGCTTTACCATACATCAGTGTAGCCCCAAACCATATTCTAATTATTCGCGCGCAGAGCTCCATTACATGTTTCACTTCGCGTCACCAGGTGATTGATCCTTCGCCACGCATTTGGTTTTGCATTGAATGTGTATGGCTTCGGATCGCGATTACATCTGGACGTCTGTTGCGCATGAAATAGTACACCCTTCAACTACGCTTGCAAAGTCCTCAATCCCATGCCAGACCACTATGAAAGCCCAAGCATGCAACCCCCAAAAAGAAGCAGTAATACCTGGAAAAGGATTCTATGGTTATCAATTTATCGGGACAGACAAGGTGAATACTACGCCGCCCGCAACCTAAACACCCCACACTCCGAATCACTTGAGGCAGAAGCTCGAAGGGAGAGCAGGGGTTGTTTGTATTCCCATAGCCTTAAGAAATGTGGACTCCTGACACGAGTGATTTTAAACACTCAGGATCCAACTTCCCAGTAGCCTTGCACTCCAGCACAAAAGGCTAATCATCTATAGTGGTAGGGCTGTACCAACAGTCCCCAGTGTACTTATTTCAACTCCATCTTTTGGTTTATCCAGTTTTGCATTTAGGATCCCATGTTCTAAGTTAACCCTAACCGCCCAGGTACCTACTATATAGGGCCCTAGGGGCTCTAGTACCCTATATAGTAGGTACCTGGGAGGTTAGGTTAAAGTTAAGATAGCCCCAGAAAAAGGAACTACAATGGAGCCTTAGGGTCAACCGAAAGCATCTGAGGATTATTCCGTGAGCTGCTAGGACTTTCCTGGTTGCTATTCTCCAGGGCAAACCCTAAGACCCTAAAGTGTTGGGTTTTAGGGTTTAGAGTTTAGGGTTTAGGGAGGGCTTGTGGCAGAGTTCTGCCCCCAAACCCTGCACCCGCGGGCAGAGAGGTGAACAAAACAGGCTAGAACCCTTAAAGCCTAAATCGTAAACCCTCGGGAAAAAGGTTTTAAGAAGCAAAACAGCAGACCCCTTAAACACCTGAGCCCGAAACCCTCGAGAAGAGGGCATTCAAACTAAGCCCCAAAACGCCCTTTAAGGGTGAGCCCGAAACCTTAGACCCTAGTCGGAGAAAGGTGTGAACAAAAAAACTTAAACCCTAAACCCCTGAACACTAAACCTTTAACCCCAACTCCTAATGCCCTAAACTCTAAACACCCAAACCCCTAACCCGCTAAACCCTAAACTCCTAAGCCCTGTAAGCCCTAAACCGGCTACAAGCCCTTAGGACCCGAAACCCAAAGGCTCTGGGCAGAAACTCCTCGTTTCGAAGTCTTCCTCCTGCGCCGACCACGAGAGCGAGGGGGAGATCCCGTCACTCTTTCTTGTTTGGGTTTAGGGTTGAGGGTTTAAATTTAGGGTTTAGGGGTTTAGGGTTTGAATTTGGCCTTTTGGTTCCTTTGCAGGGATCTATCAGGGTTCCTTTGAGACGGATTTAGTAAACAAATGGTATTGGTGTTTGGGGGGTTTGGGCTTTTGGGGCTTAGGGTTTCGACTTTTGGGTTTGAAGTTTTCTGGGTTTTTCGATCTTAGGCTTCAGAGCAGGCTTCGCGCTAAGTGTTCCCCCAGGGGGGGGTGGTTACGGCTAGGGTGCATAACAAAATAGAAACATTATTATAGGAGAGCTGAAGACCTAGAAGCGTCCGCATTCCCGGCTTTCGGAGTTCCCATGCCCAAGAAAGAATCGGGCTTTGGGGGCTTCGGCATTGCTTTGTGGCTTGTTTAAGTTTAAATACGTGCAACCAAAGAATGCCAAATAGAACTCAAGCCACGGAACCCGGCAAGCAGAGAGAGGTGTCTTGTTCTTTGTTTGCTTTTGGCTTCAAGATCTTCGGCTTTCATTGATATGGGGCGGGCTCAGTTGCCCTAAACCCTAGACCCTAAACCCTTCGAAGCATGTTGGGTGACCGGAGGGCTTCTTTTGGTGGTGCTTTGGACTTGCTTAGGTCGTGGGGGATTGCTTGTAAAGCGTATCAGGCCA